GTTGAAGGTGGAGCCGTTCCTCACGGAACAAGGTGCACTATGTTTCATCAGCTGGTTTCCCTACAGTCCCTTAGGTCAAGAAGCACATCTTTGTTAGACGCATTTGCGCACACACAGATGTCCCCATAGCCTCTTTTTTGGAGGGGGAGGTCGTTAGGTTTATCTATTTTTTATTCATTTATTTATTTTTTAAATGAAGGTACTGGGGATTGAAGCCAGGACCTCACACATGCTAAGCAGGCACTCTACCACTGGGCTATCTCCCTCCATAACCTCTTGATCAGCCAGGACAACCGAAAAAGAGAATTAAGGCCGGGCAGTTACCAAGTCTACCTGTGTTTGCCTGTGGCTGGCATTTTCATCTGGAAGTCCGTGGCTCTGGCTGGAATTTTGAGCATTTCACGCCTTGTGATAAAATGTCCTTGAAAGCTGTAATTCATGAAAAGCTCTTTCCTTTCCGCCCCAGAGTTTGGCGCCTGCCTGGCTCCCCCTGCAAAGCTGGGTAAGTGCGACCTGCCACGGGTTTTCTTGCTCCCTGAGATAAACAAGAGATGCTTTTGACTTAAGTCTTTCCTTTCTCAGCCGCTTTGGTCAACAGAAATGTAGAGATGCAAAGAGCATGTGGCAATAGTAATAAAAATGTAAGAGGAAGATTAGGAAAGGATTTGGCTAATCAGATAAACGAGAATTGACTGTAGCAACTTTTCTACCCTCTGAAATTAGAGGCGACTTTGTAATAAAAGTGATCAGTCTTAAGAAATCCCTTCTGAGGACTGCACTAGAGCCAAGAAGCCCCCAGGTGCATCAGGAGGCTGGCGCTCTGTCCCTGTGCCGCTGGGGTTGGGGTGACACTGGGGACCGGAACCTCTGGTGAGTCTCTTTGCATCCAGCCTCCTTGGGATGAATGTACAATTACTTCTGGAACAAAACTCCAGAGTTCCTTGTGCCCAGGTACACTTGTCACCCCAGCACTGCCTGTCCCAGCTCTCTTGTCCCCTCTTAACACCAGCGGAGCCCTCGGCTGGCTGTGCAGCTGGGGAAGAATTGACCATTCTTTGCCTCAAGCAGTGGTCAAGGCTGTTCTCCACCCTGCCTCCCCGACTATGTCCCCCCTGCGTGGTCCTCTGCTCCCGACCTGTCCCCTCACGGTCTTCATGCTGCTTCTGAATGTCCACCTGCCCGCCTGGCTCCTGGAGCCCAGATTGGGGTTGACTTGAAACATCTCCATATTCGTTATATTCCTTCAGTCACTCATGTGAATATGTGCATTTAGCCTTTTTTTTTGGTGGGGGGGAGGTTATTAGGTTTATTTATTTATCCTTGGAGGAGGTGCTGGGGATTGAACCTAGCCGAGTGTGCCAAGCAGGTGCTCTACCACTTGAGCTATACCCTCCCCACAGTTAGCTTTTTATGATGGAAATGTTCAAGGCATACGAAGAAGTAGGGAGAATGGGGTAACAGTACTCATCTCCAGGCTCGGCAGTGATCTGCCACCCACACGCATGTGAGCTGCTGCTCTGTGTCAGCCCTGAGGACACAGGCCGGGCGGGCGGGAGCGCTGTGGAGGAAGAGACTGGACGAGGGTCCACCAGACAGGCAGAGGGCTTCTCTGCTCAGGCTTGAGTGACAGGAGGGAGTGTGGGCCATGCAGACAGCCGTGGTAGGTCTTCCAGAGAGATGGAAGGCCCAGGCCCTGTGGAGAGAGACTCCTGGTGTGGTCCAGGAGCACCGAGAGGCGAGGGCTTGACGGCAGGAAGCAGAGCTAAGCACTCAGTCGGGGACACAGTGGGAGGGGGACGCAGAGGCCGGCTTACTCACCGTCCTGTGGGCGTAGGGCGGACGTGGATTGTTCCTGCGTGAGATGAAGCCCTCGGGGCTCCTGGGAAGAGCACTGCTGGGCTCTGAGGGCTGGGGCCGTGCCCAAGGCCACAGCATGGTGAGGACAGCACTGTCACTATAGCCGGGGCCCCCTGGCCTCTTGGCCCACCCAGAGCTGCCCAGGCCCAGCGTCTGTTCTCTTTGCTGGATCAGTGCGACACCAAAGACCCCTGGACATGTGGCATCTCATTTGCAAGGTGGAGGCGGATTTCAGACTCTGTGAAGTCGGTGGTGGAGGCGTTTGGGGTTAGCAGAGAGCGTTCCCGTGCTCCTGGGAGAGGCACACAGCTCAGGAACGGTCATCTGGGCTGGAAATTAAACGCAGCCTGGCTCACCACCCCCCGTCCATCCCACCCTAAGCCAAGCTGGAAGGGCTCACCCTTCCTCCGCCCGGGTTTCCTCTACGTGGCCGTCACCACATGCTGCTTGGCTGGCCCTGGACCAGCCCCCGCAGACAACAGGTGGAAGGAGGGGCCCAGGCAAGGGCTTCCCGGGGAAGAGCTCAGTTAAGCACTTGCGGATTCGTCCTCTCCCAAAGGACGCCCTGGATCGCCAGCGAGTCAGCTAGCCACCACCCGATGGGCAGGCGGCAGAGCGGCTGGGCTGTGCGTGTCTTGGCTGATAACTCACCGCCTGTGCCTCAGACCCCCACCTGTGCTCTGATGCCCCAAGGGCGGAAGTGAGGATGGAGGGGACGGTGGTAGCTGGGGCTGTCCCTCTCGGTGCCCATCCCCTTTCCCGCCCCCAGCAGAATAGACTAGGAACATTCTAGCAACAAGGCCCAGTGGTGATGGAGACAGTCAGTGAAGCTGACTGCGGGCTGCGTGGAAGAGGTGTGGTTTTAGAATTTCTTTCCTCTGGGGAGTCCCGGTTGTGGGCGGAGAAGCTTGATACTGGACACGTGATTCCGGGACCGAGCGTGTCTGAAAGTGTCTAAAGACAGTAGGTCACGATCGCAGAGCCTGGTGGAAGGAATAGAGAAGTGAGGGAGAGTGAAGACTGGTGAGACGGGGTGGTCTCACACAGTGACCCTGACGGTAATGGAGATGCCTCAGGGGCTCGGGGGCTCGGGAACCTCAGAGGAAGTGGGTTTAGGATGAGCTTGTTTGAGTGACTTCAGCAGGCTCTGGGGTCTCCAGGGGTCTGATGTTCCCCGCAGGCCAAGGCACTTCCCGTACACTGTGGCGCTTGGCCCTGGCACTGCTGACCCCACAGGTGTCCTGACGGTGACGGTGGCCCAGGGTGTAACCCCCAGGAGGGAGCGTGTCCCCTCGCAGTGAGGCCCCTGGTCAGGCCTGGGCTTGGCCTGTGGAGTCCGGGGCGAATGGCGCCCCCAGAGCCGCACAACGCTGGGCGGGGGGGGGGGCTTGCAGCAAAGCCAGGCTGGCGGGTGGGGACACAGAGGCCACCTGGGGCTCCCGGGCCAAGAGCACCACTCAGAAGTTAGAGGTGGACGGCTCAAGGCAGATTCAGAGGGAGTTCTGGCGACTCAAATAGCTCAGATGCTTTGCTGAAAGAGGTAACACAAATCGGCTAATGCTGGTGATTTCACAGACGCACAGCAAACAGGTGATGAAAGCAGCAGGGCTCAGCTCGCCCTGCGTCCCGCCTTCCTCTTGCTTCCCTGTCTGTAATCCAAATCCCAGAGCCACGTCCCTTCCTCCCAGGAACATCCAGCTTTGCTGCGGAGGCCGGGCTGAAACGAGCAGAGATCAAGACCCTGGCGGCTGAATTCGAGCCCACGACCTCAGGCTGGTGGTCTTCCTCCGCGCTCGGCGCCCGGGGAACCGGAGGCCTGGGGACATCATTCCAGTACAGGTGCACTTCAGCAAAGGGCTTCTGAGAAATTCTCTCTTAGTCAGAATCAGATGCATGGTTCCCTTGAAGCCTTTCTGTTGACAAATACTTTACTGTGTATATATTCGGAAACCTTTTCGCGTCTGCCTGTGCAGAGAAGGAAAAAGGAAGAGGCCTGGTAGAGACCATGGGGAGGGGCACTTTTAAATGTTGATTTTCTTGTTATTCAGGGGCGGTGAGGCCAACAGTTCAGGAGAGGACAGCCCCTGAACAGGCAGTGTGTTACGCCCAGTTCCCAAGAGGAGGGGGCCCAGCTGGCCCCTCAGGGACGCCCCAGGGCCATCAGGGGCAGGAGGAGTGAGGGGACGGCGTGGGCAGGAGCCTTTGCTGTGGTTTGCATGGGAAAGGCAGGACCAGGCGGAGCGCATGGGGTTAGGGGGGCCCCGGGGATGAGCAGGTGGGAACAGCGCTTCCTAAAGTGTAAGGACCTGCTGGACGAGTTTGCATCCCAGTCCGGGCTTGGTCTGTTTGCAGGTGGAAGGCACAGTCTCTCTAAGAACCGGCCAAGCCTGGAGGGGCGGGCTCTCCCGAGTCAGGAGGCCCCAGGTGCCAGAACTCGGAGAACACAGACAGTAAGACAGTGAAGTCAGCACAAGATGATCCACCCACAGGCCCCACTTGCTCTCTTTACCTTTTTAACTTCCAAGTGTTTCCAGTTCTGCTGGGGGGCAGTCTGCCTGCCTTGAGAGCCCCTCCCCTGGCACAGAGGGGTGGCAGGGGGGGCTGACATCCCCAAGTCCAGCCACCCGGGACTCCAGGCCTTACCCGCCCAGCAGCTCACGCACCTGAGTGTGATGGGTTGTCTGCTCCTGAGGGGTCTCCTTCAGGTCCTGCATCCCGTCTCCAGGCCACAGAAAATGCCTTGTGAGTGACCACAGACAGGCTGCAGGGTGCTTGGAGTCTGGGACTCGCCTCGTCATGGCCTTATTCCTGGATGAAAGTGGCAGGAGGGGTGGCTAGGACCAACACGAGGGCCCATCAGGACGCGGCATCACCTGTGGGCCCTCGGGAGGCGCCCAAGTCACTCCCCATCAAGGCTTCCCTGGAGTCAGAGCTCCCTCACCGTCCCGATCCCCGCTAGGTCTGGCACCCGCAGCCCTATCTGTCCTCTCTCCCTGGTTCTCCACCCGCCTCAGCCTCAGACTGAACCTCATGGGCTCGTGGTCCCCGCTTCCTGCTCCGTCTATGTGGCTCTCTTTAATGAAGCCACTGAACCCATCTGTTAAGCTCCCACCTTGGGGTGTGGGTCTAGCTGCTGGGGCTACAGTGATGAACCATGTGGATGCTGAGAAAACACACATAAGTAGAATTAAAAGGTATGATAAAATATTCAAGAGTAAATAGCAACTTTGTCCAAAGGGTCTGCTTTCGACGGCAGGATGGGGGTCAGTGAGGAAGAAGGCTGCTCTGGACAAGATCAGGCCCTGGAGGGCGAGATCGCCAGTCAGCAGAGAAGGGAGAAGCCGTATGGGAAGGTCTGGGGCAGGCCTGGCCTGGCTCCTGGAGGGACCTAAAGGGGATCCCAGGGCCTGGGGGGCTCACCGCTGCTTCCAGTGCCTGGAAGTCATCCTTACGGGTTCAGTGCATCATGCCTCGTGGATGTTCAGGGAAGGTTTTGGCCACTCTTATTCCTGCTCCTCCTCTTCCTCAGTAACAACTCCAGTTTCATTTCGTGGCAATGCGTGTGGCTCAACAGGGCGTGTGACAGAGTTATTCAGTGAGCTATCCTGGGAGTGTTGTTTACGCTTAGGGGAAAGACTCTTAAAAAGGGGAAGAGGCAAATCCCCCGTTGTTCCTTTTACCATTTCCCCTGCCCTGGGTGTAGATGTGGTATTTGGTGCTCTGGCAGCCATCTTGGATGCTGGGATGGAAGGCACAGAATGAGGTTAGTGGAGAGTAAAAATTGAAGCCTGGGTTAACATTGTGAAGCTGCCACAGTAGCTCTGGACTGCCTGCCTTTCAGGTATCTTCTGTGTGAAAGAAGAAAAAAATCTTTCTCACTTAAACCACTGTTATTTTGGATTTTTCTGTTAAACGAGGACAAGCTTAGCCCCAACTGACATAGCGTAACATGAAGCTGGACCCATCCCAGGCACTCAGTAGTTAGTTGAGGACTGAGCGAGGGATCTGTGAGCGTCTCCGTGTATAGGTGTCGCTCCTTCAAACCGAAGATACCAAGACACAGGTGGGTGAGGGCTGCCCAGACTAGGATGAGGGTCCTGTCTCTGAGATCATCCCACCCACCTCTGTCCAGCTCCCTCCTCCCTAGAGCTCTGTGTTCACGATACTGGAAGCAGACTCAGTTTAAGAAAACTCTGATATTCTCAACTTAGACTAAAAACATTAGGCCTGTGGATGCTTTCTACCAATAGATCGTTTTCTTGAAACTGCTGTGTCTCTTCATGTGGATTTGAAAATATGACTTAGTTTGAGAGAGATGGATGTGCTGTTTCAGCCGAGGGTGCAAAGGCAAACTTCACACCCACTTTTTGGAAGTAGACTGTGAAGTCCAGACTCTGTGCTAACTTTTCAAAAACATTACAGTTAATCACAGAAATTTTTTCTTTCCAGTTTTGCTGAGCTACAACTGACATACAGCACTGTATATGTTTAAGGCATACACCATAATGACTCAATGTACATACGTCTTGAAGCGATGACCACAGTGAGCTTAGTGAGCATTCCTCGTCACATAGAAACAAAACAAAAGGAAGACACTTTTCCCTTGTGGTGAAAACTCCTAGATTTACTCCCCGAAGAGCTCTCACGTGTAGCACACAGCGGTGTTCATCGTGTTAATCGTGCTGTGCGCTACGTCACTAGTCCTTGTGTGTCTTATAACCGGAGGTTTGTACGTTCGACCACCTTCATCCAGTTCCCTCACCCCACCCCCTGCCTCTAGTAACCATAACTCTGATCTCTTTTTCTATGAGTTTATGTGTTTTTGAAGTATAATAGGCCTACAACACTGTGTTAATTCCTGGTGTACAGTGATTCACTACTTCTGTACACTTCAGAGTGATCACCACTGGACCACCTGGGCCTTGATGTTCCTTTCCAGGGTGTGTATCTGGTGCACATCACCGGATAAGCCAGACACCAACTAGTCCATCTGATAAGTGTGTTTCTTGTATGTGTGTCGTGCTGGCGCTGAGAACGACGTGGACTCACGGGGTGGCACAGCAGCTCTCTGTGTGCACGGGGGGAGGAGCACTTGCTGGAGAGAGGCCCCAGGACGGGTGCTGGTGCCAAATGCTCTGGGGTTCGGGTGAGAGTTGGGGTGGCGTCTGCTCTGGACCCAGGGGTGAGGCTGGATTGGTGGAGACGTGGCGGGGAGGGAGGTCAAGGAAGAGTCTGGAAAGAGAGGATGGGGCCAGGTTTTAGAAAACTTAGAATGCCAGGCTGGAGGGGGAGCAGTGAGCTGGGACTCCTGGGGGTGTGGGCAGGGAGCGTGTTGGGGGGAGGGCCCGTGAGGGAGCTGGTGAGCTGGAGGCTTCACCAAGGGGAGCTGGTTCTGCAAGGGCAGAGCCTCCCTCCCAAGGCCTCAGCCGCAGTTTCCCCCAGCACCCCTCGGTTGGGGGGCTGCAGGGGTGTCAAGCCCCGAGGCAGCCCCCTCACCTCCCTGTGATCACCTGTTGTCAGCCCTGTGCCTCTGAGCCTGGTGTTGTCCAGGCAGCTGTCCCCCAGCGCTGGCCAGGTGTGGGCCCGGATCACCAGACTTGAGAAACAGACCTGAGAGGCCAGAGGCTGTCACAGGACCAGGAGAGAGAGGAAGGCCAAGTTGAGGGGCGGGGGTCTGTGGCCAGGGAGTGGGAGGACCTTGAAAGTTGGCCTGGGTGGTCGGGACATCACCATTAGGTATCAATGCTGATGTCACATGCATGGCTTCCTGCACAGTTGATGTTCGATGATTCTCTTAGGGCAGGGAGAGTAAATGGTGGAGGTGGGGGAACTGAGGCCCAGAGAGGCCGAGAGGTGGCAGTCACAGGTAGCAACTTGCTGAAGAAGAGATGAGTGTCCAGCGCCTCCACCGCCTCCAGGCCGCACAGGGCCCTGGTGTCCACAGGGCTTCCCGCTACTGGGTGCGCGTGGGGTGGCCATGCTCTCCCTCCCTCTCCTGTAGTAGCATCAAGGCAGCCCCCTCCAGGCCGCAGCCTTCAGCACACTCGCTGCTGCCCTGGCTGGCTGTGACCCACAGGGGACACTGCGTGAGATGTCCCCTGTCCTCCCTGCTTCTCACTTCTGGTCACAGAATAGTCAAAGCTGATTGAAAGGGACAACAGACATGGCCGAGCCTAGAGGTGGCCTCTAAACAGCTGTGGCCATGACCCTGAAGTACCAGAGAGGTGAGTGCTGTGCCTTCAGGCGGGCACCTGTGGGCCAGGCATTCTGGGGTGCGCTGAGCCTGGGTGATTGCCCTCCCCTCCATGACTCTTCTAGGGTCTCCGTTCTCAGGGGTCTCCTGCTGCACCAGCCTCTGTCCTGCAGGCTCACCCCCCAGCAGGGCCCTGTGGCAGTGGACGAGCACTTGGAGTCCACCGGCCCTGATGACCACGTCTGAGCACTTCTGCCTCTGGACTTGCTGCAGACATGTGGGTGGGTGCATCCTTTCTGGAAGGTCCCTGCTACCAGGGACAGATAGATCTACCTCAGACTCCTCCAGCACCTTTTGTCGCCACCTTGTTGATTCCTGACTAACAGCTCAGCACTAACATTAACTTGCAAAACCTTGTTACTGTAAATTTTACTAAGGTGGAAGCTTACCAAAACTGCATACAAATCGTAGGTGGTGAATTTGCACAATTTGAACATACTCGTATGACCGACATGCAGATTGAGAAATAGATCACAGCACCCCCAGGGCCCTCGCCCAGGTCCCCTAAGCCCCTTCCCCTCCAGATTAGCATTGTCTGCTTCTGAACTCTGTATGAGTTACATGAGACGCAGCCCTGCCGATGCTGTGGCTGAAGTTCACCCCCTTCATTGCTGGCTCCGCATCGACCACACCCCCTCCATCCACCCAGCTGCCCGGGGCACCGCGGGTCTCACGTCTGGGGCTCTGACGGTTCCCGGGGCTGCTGTGAACGTTCTTGCACACCCTAATGCGTTTCTGTCGGACACATCACGGGTCTGCTGGTCAGAGGGGACGCCTGCGTGCAGGGAGAGGTTGCGGCGTTAGCTGACACGTGCGCCCCACCGCCCAGGCTGGTCTGTGAGCAGGTGCCACAGCTCCGTTTCCCGGTGCTCCTAACCTAGTGCCTTGTGCTGCACAGCCAGCTTCCTTCTGCCCATCGCCCGGCTCTGCGCAAATGCAGGTGTTCTTCCTCACCTGGTAGCATCTCCCAGGAAGCCCCCCAGGATCCTCTGAAGGGCAGTGCCCAGCGTCCCATGTCCTGATTTGCTTCCCCACTAGCCAGGACTCAGGCTCAGCCTGTCAGTTGCAAATGGCAAGGACAGTAGACGGGGACCCAGTGAATTGGGGAGGAACTCGGTTCTCTAAGGCTGCATTCTTCCTGGGGCTCGGCCTTTGGGATTTATTTATGAGGGGGAACTATAGCAGGACCTGGTTTGTAACCACCAGCTGTCGCTATAGCAACTCCTCACTTACAGCACTAAATATAGAACATCTTCATTCCTGGAATAGAAAAATCAAAGAAAATCAAAGTGGGGGAGGGCCTATCTGCCCAGCTGTGTGTTCCCGGACTGATTTCGAGGTGCAGCTTCTTGGGGCCTCTTTAACTGCCCACCTAAGAGCAGAATGGGCTTGGGTGGGACGGCGCGTCTGCGCAGCAGACACTCTCCAAGCTGCAGGGACCCCCGAGCCTCCCCTGCTCCAACCCCATGTGTCTTCTCCTTCATAGGCTGAACCACAGAATGTAATACTTCATTGTAAAGTCATTTCATTTGGGCTTTATTCAGTCTCTTAATCTTAAATCTTAAGTCTTCTAAGGGATTGTAAATATTTTTCAAGGTCAAGGACTTAATTAGTAGGGTGGGACGAGAACTCGAAATCCTATTATATGAGAAAGAGTTGAAAGAACTGGCAGTGTTGGCATGGGCAGGCATGAGCTTGGGGCCGGGTGGGAACGGTCTCCAGAAATCTGAAGGCCGGTCCTAAGTGAGGAGGGATCCTCCTACCCTGCGGCCCTCAGCTCCGTGGGAGAGGAAACATTATCCCCCACGAAAATATATGTATTGCTTTTTATTGTGTTTTTAAAATCACGACAGTGACATAACACTTCAAAATGTTTGAAAGCTGGAAAATGTCCCCTATAATGACAAGCATCCACAGCACACCGACTAGCCTGCGGGTCTCTGAAGAGCCCAGCGGCCTGGAGGTGGCCGCTCTGGGAAGGGGGAGCCCCATGTGGACAGGGCGGGGCGGAAGCCAGCTCCGCTCTGTCAGCCTAGTTGGGGTGGCCGTCCTCCGAAGGTGGCTGTGCCGACTAGGGTGATGCTCTGACGCCCTGCACTGTTCACAGGGTTTGTTGTTCCCACCGTGGGTATTCCAGCCCCGGGTGTGTTTTTAAACATAAGATGGGAGATTTCCTGAGACGCTCTCTGAGGTCCTGGCTCTGAGGTTCTGGCTGGAGTAGAACCCAGAAGTGGGTATGAATGAGAACTAAGGCTGAAAAGTGGAGTGCACCAGCCAACGGCAGGCAGGGGCCCCGGGGAATCCTTGGACTCAGCCATTCCTAGGGAGGCCCCCTCTGCTCCAGGGCAGCCCTCACCGCCCGTCAGTGACATACCCATCCCTTTTCTTCATCTTTTGATTGTAGTAAATTATACATAACATAGAATTTACCATTGTAACCATTTTTCCCAGTTGGATGCAACAATTTATTTACTTTTATTTATTTATGTAATTTTTTTATTGAAGTGTAGTTGGTTTACAATGTTGTGTTAGTTCCTGGTGTACAACATAGTGCTTCAATTATGTATATATATATCTTTTCATATTCTTTTTCATCATAGGTCATTTTAACCATTTTTAAGTGTATGGTTCAGTGGCATTAAGTACATTCACGTTGTTGTGCAACCATCATCACTATCCATCTCGAGAACTTTGTCACCTTGCAAAACTGAAACTGTGTCCCCCATTAAACGACTCTCCGTCCCCCCTCCACCGCCCGCCCCTGGCAGCCGCCAGTCTGCTTGCTGCCCCTGAGAATCTGACGACTCTAGGAACCTCACCTAAGTGGGATCATACAGTAGTTGTACTTTTGTGGCTGGTGCTGTAGCGTGTGTCAGAGTCCCCTTCCTTCTTAAGACTGAACAGTATTCCCTTGTACGTGGCCGCCACGTTTGCTCACCCATCCATCCGTCAGTAGACGTGTTCTCCCGGCCTAGGTGTCAGGCCCTTGGAGGCAGTGATGGGCCCCACTCCTCCCGTCCTGGGACCAGACTCATGTTGGGGGTGGGGAGCGAGCCCACTGTGGCCTGGCCCTCCCAGGGTGCGCCACGGGCCCGGGGCAGAGAGGGCCTCGTGACTGCCTGCTGTGTGACGAGGAGGTGCCGAGAGCCCAGGGGCCTCCTCTGAGTTGCTTCCAGGTACCAGACCCAGAAAGTGTCCGTGGAGGCAGCCACCTGCAGTGTGACCGAACAGGTGAGCAGCTCGATCAAGGTTCAAGTTTTGGCTTTGGGTCCTGGCGTCATCCTCTGCACAGTGTCCCTCCCAGAGGCCTCTGCGTGTCTTTATCCTGCTCAAATCAGCCCCTGATGCCTGAGCAGGAATTAGCCTATCGCACAGAGCAATGGAGATCTGTGAGGACTGGTGACTCTGGGTTAGGAAACGTGCGGGGGTCTGGAATACTGGGCCAGGGAGGTGGTCTGAGGGCAAGTTCTTAGAAAAGATGGCAGAGAGGGCCCAAGAAGCCAGGAGGGCTTCTGGGAGGAGGCTGTGGGCCTTGGAGACAGGCCTGACATTCATCCCAAGTGAGTGAGGACCAGTTTTGCCTTCTGAGGGATTTAAAGGGTTTCCCGGGCCAGGAGGGTTCGCGCAGTTACCTGCGGCCTTTATCAGGGTGAGTGCGTTGGCAAAAAAGTGATAATTAGACTCTTCAGAGATTACTGGACACTAACTCTAAACTGACGCCACTCCCAGAGCCCTGCTGCGGTCCACCCATTCCAGCAGGCACTCCCAGAAGCAGGAGGGGCTGATGACCCCAGTGCAGAATTTCTCCAGCTCCCTCAGTGGAGGGCGGAAGTCTTTCCTGTCTACGGTCCTCAGTTTCCCTGTTTCTGGAGGCACAAACCTCAGCAGGGAGGAGGAGGAAGCGGGCTGGGGCTGCAGGAGGCTCAGAAGTGGGGAGCTAGTTAGAGGGTTCAAAGGCATTTGGAGAAGTGAGGAATGTTACTTAATCAGAACCTGCGGGGCCACGTCTATCTAATCAGTTTGGGTGTGTATTAGCCACACATCCAGAATAAGAACGTGCCGGGTGACATGACAGCCCATGAGCGGGGACTGGTGTTGAGCTGTTGGCTGATGGGCAGGCAGGGGTGTAGGCTCTGTGTTCCGGCACGGAGCCCCTAGAGCAGCAGGGCGGCCATCTGTCTGTCTTTCCCCATCAGAACCCTGCTGGTTTCAGGAGAAAAGACTGAATTCTACCCCCTTCCACCCTGTTAATGACCAGTATTCCTTTATAAGCCCCCAAGAGGGGCCACTCGGAGGGAGAGGGTACGAGTGACTGAGAACAGATGTCGTCCTGGAGCAGGTGTGATGCCCGGGGGAGGAAAGGAGCCCAAGGGCATCGTGTCCTGGAGTTTGGGGAGGGGAAGTCTGGCAGGGGTGGGGCTGAAGGAGAAGGAGGAATTTTCAAACAGTCCTACAACCTTACAGCTCCGCCCAGCAGAGCTCTTTCAGGCCCGCAAGCCACAGGGAGGGAGCAGCGTTTAGCTTTGCTCAGAGAGGACTCACGTAAGGGACAGTCACGGGACCCCCATCTAGGATACACAGCCTCTGTGCCGCACCCACGGGGGGGTTATAGCTCTTAGAGCGGAAGGAATCTCAAAGGCCCCCATCCCAGCCTCCTGCTTTCACTGAGGTAAACTGTCATTGCACCTGTTTCACAAGTGAGACGCCTGGGGCTCAGATTATTTGCACATCACCAAGTAGCTAAATGTGCTGGGAGTTCCCAGGTCAACCTCAATCCCTAGAATAATGTTGTTATGGTTAAATACATACGCAATTGAATAGCTAATACACATGCATGTTAAAACATTCCAAAAGTACAAAAAAGTATGTGGTAAAAACATAAGCATCCTTCCACCCTGGCCCCCAGCCTCCCGGTTCCTCTGCCCAGAGGCAGTGGTTTTTACTTCATATCCCTCAGAGATCGTCTCTGCACTTCTGAGCCTTTTATTTTTACATCCAAGTGGCCTTGTATTGTACGTGCTGCTCTACAACTTGGTTTTAACCCCTTGGCAGTTCACACTGGCACGTACGTAAGGAGATGCCCTGTTCCCTTTCATGGCTGTGTAGTGCTCCATCGTGCACAGTCCCTGGGTTGCTGAAACAATCCTCTATTGATGGAGCTGTTCTCAGTCCTCGGCTGTAAAAAAACATTGCAACAAATATTGTTGTCCCTACTTTTTTGTGCGTGTGTGTACATATATCTGCGATTTAAACTCTAGGAGTAAAATCGTTGGGTCAAAGAGTGCATGTATTTTCTATTTTGATGGCTATTGGAAATTGCCCCACGGAGGTTGTGCCACGTCTACTCTCTGAATGAGAGCTCCGTTCCCCCACGTCTTCACTACACACTGAGATCAAAGCTTTAGGATCTTCGTCATGGAGATGGTTTCAGAACTGAGCTAAGACAGAAAACCTTGATGCATGTATTTTTAAGAGAGTGGAAATTTGGGGCATCAGGCCCAATGGGGACATATGGAGGAGAGACCAGTGGGGGCTTAGGGGCCTGAACTTGGGGGGACACTGAGATGTGTCGGAATCAGGGATACAAGAGATAACCAGCTAATCAAAATAGGTATGAAAAGCTCACTGCGTTCCAGGCGCTAGGCCTGACTGTAGGAGATACGCCAGCGGGATTTTGCAACGTAGGTAACATTAACATGCAGGGAACAGCAGCCAGCTCCCCGCCAAGTGCTCCAGCCAGCGCTTGAGGAATTCTGCAAGGGCGACAGGTGGGAAGGAATAGTCAAGGCAGGATGCGAGGAGGAGGTGGCCCTTGAGCTGGGCCTTTGAAGGGGCAGCAGGGCTGGTCAGCAGACGAGGGAAAGAATTCATAGCCATGGTATGTGTGGTGTTTGTACAGGGTTGCCATGGAGACAAGAGGGACATGAGCCACAGAGGTTCGGTCGGGCCAGACAACAGCTATGAAAGCAGTTGAAGGCAAACACAGTCGCTTGTAAGTGTGTGATGAGGCACTGGCCTGTGATTGTGGATGCTCCACATCTGTCCACTCCGGACAAAGTCAGCTTCTCCTTGGATCTTAGAGACGCCCACCCTGCTGCGCGCTGGCCGCCAGGGCAGGTCATTCTTGATGCCCCTAGATGGTCACGGGACCAGTGGCCAGGGGGACATGGAGCGTGCAGCACGGTGGTAGCACCACTCCTGGGGGGCCGGCCGGTCACTCTGGGCTCCTGGATGGGAGGGAGTACTCCCGGGAACAAGGTCCAAGGTCACCCCCCAGCCACATGGCCACACTCCATCACTCTGCTGGTCTCTGGTGCCTGCCCTTTCTTCGCTTTGAGCGCAGTCCTACATGAAAAGCAGATCCTAAAAAAGATGAGATGGTGGAGGAGGCAGGAAGGAGGCATTTCTGCACCATGGAGAGGGGAGAGGGCAGCTCCAAGAGATGCCAGCTCCGCAGGACGGCTGGCTGAATTGGTGTGAGGCAGGACAGGGCCGAGTCCAGGGCTCTGCTGCTGTGCCCGGCGGGGGCAGGTG